ACAGGAGGAAAGAGGGCTGAGAGTCACTTCCTTCTAATGTTGGAAGAGCACAACCTGCCTATATAAAATGTATGTACATGTGTATGCATACCCTAGTGAATTACAGTATATTGTATGGAAACCATCACAGCAATAGCCCTGGTTTGCTCAGAATGTATTAGCCATTCGCAGACCAAAAGTAGGCTAATCTCTATATCCATTTCTTAAGGATTCAACTTGTTCCTTGTTGCTGCTCATGAGTTTGGCCACGCACTGGGTCTCTCCCATTCTAATGACCAGAGAGCCTTGATGTTCCCCAATTACGCCTACGTCAGCCCCAGCGAATTTCCTCTTTCTCCAGATGACATAAGTGGTATTCAGTCCATTTATGGTGAGTAAAATCCACTGCTTAAAAAATAATAAAAATATTCATACATGAAAAACTTCATGTTTCTACAAATGTGGTGGATTCTCCCTTAGGTTCTCCAACAAAAATCCCAGATAAAAGCCCACCCAATCCTACAAGACCTAAAACCTGTGGCTCCCAGATATCTTTTGATGCTGTAACTACACTCCGACGAGAAATCATGTTTCTAAAGGGCAGGTAAATATTGATATGATGATTGACTCTGTGAAGTTTGTGTTTTAGTCCGAATATTCTGGTGGTTAGCATGACCATGATTATGGGATTTACAATGAGACAGATGGATAGATTTCAGAATCAATTGTTCACAGAAAAAAAAAAAAAAAAAAAAAAACTGTCAGCATGTCAGCAGATAGGAGTTATATTCATATTTTTACAGGATCCCCTGACAAAATAGGCTGCTTATTTTCAGAAAACCACTTGGTCCCAGTAAATTTTTATTCCCAAAAGTATAGATGGTTACAACAAGCAGTGAAATGAATAATTGCTGCAACCAATTCCAAATAAATTAGTATGCTCTACGATACAGTTGGACCATTATCTCTTCCAGTTACCTATTCAAGCCCTAAGTCTTGTATCTGGGTATACAGAGAATAGCCAGTCAGGCTCCCCTGGGACCCTATACCTCTCATATCACACAGTACAGCAGCAATCTGAATTTACTACTTGCTTATAGCTGATATTATTAATCAATCAATACCAATGGGAATTACCATTGAGGGTAATTCCACAAAGAAGTCAGAACAACAAAAAAAGCACCTTGTTTCCCACAGAGGGGAGTTTTCCTTTCTGACACATCAACCCAGGTAATTCCACTGACAAGAAAGAACTTGTAAGTCACAATGTTGTCACATTCTTGTGCATATATAGAAAAGTCTTTGGTTTGTTATTTACTATAAAAATTGTTTCATATTTTAATCAGACATTTGTGGCGAGTCTATCCTGATAACTCAGAAGTTGAACTTGAATTAATTTCTGCCTTTTGGCCAACTCTGCCATCTGGTATTCAAGCAGCATATGAGAACATGAAAGATCAGATCCTATTTTTCAAAGGTGAAGTATGAGATTTTATTTAATTTTTTCTTACTTTTAATTTTGAAGGAAAATATGAGGGAAGAAGGGCAGCTATACGTGAATAAAATTCACTTTTCAAATTAAAATAAATAAATAAATAAATAACACTAAATGTCTTTCATCTAGTTTTCCTACAGCCTATGCTGAGAAAGTATGTTTTTCTTTCATTTGGTTTCACAACATCAATGGTAAAACTTTACCTTTTTTTTTTTTTTTTTTCAATAGGCAATATGTTTTGGATTATCAGTGGATATCAGGTGTTGCTTGGTTATCCAAAGAACATCAACACACTGGGATTTCCTAAAGGTGTTAAGAAAATTGATGCAGTTGTTTGTAATAAAAATACAGGGAAGACAGACTTTTTCATAGGCGACAAATACTGGAGGTAAGAAAAAGAGACAAATATTTTGTTATGATTGACTCCAACATAATCTATATGCAATTAAAATTGCACATTAGACATTATGTAACATTAGGTAACACATAGAAGTGTCTGTTTGACTCCTGCAGGGAGAATAATATAGCTTTGACTTTTGAGAATTTAATGGTGTGCTGAAACAGCCATTTAAGATGGCTCACTCATTTTGATGCATTATACCTAGAAGCTGAAAAAGTTCCTACATGTAGACTATTCTTACAAAAAAAAAAAAAAAAAAAAAAAAAAAAAAAAAGTAGACAAAATTATCTCTAGAAAATAAGGAACAGAGAGCTAGCCTGTTTCAGCAGAAGGCTGACTGGGACAGCGTGTACAGTATTTATGTGATTTCTGAAAAGTCCTAGATTATTTCACCTTTTTCAGAAAAGTACCAATCACAGTTCATTTTCCTTCCTTTGGCTGATTAACATTAGATTTACAATGTGCTTCTTTTAAATCCTATTCACTATCTGTATGAGTGATTCCCCATTCTTGAACACCAAGCAAACAGAAGCAAAATGTCAGCTTTGAGAAGCTGATGGATTCCTCTCATGTGCAAGGAAAACTGATGCAAAGGCTTCTGCAGGCAATCAGGAGCATGTACAGGTCAAATACACTTTATTATGACTATTTGTGCTGCTCCTTAGTGAGGCATACAGTGTCAGCTGGATTTTTGGCTGCATGTGGTTTCCTGCCCTTTGTTTTTGATAGTTTTGGAAAGAATGTTCACAATATCTTGTGCTGCTATTTTACTGCCTTGGTCACAAGACAAAGGCATGTAAGAAAACCACGGCATGGATTTCTTACCTAGTAACACCCATTCTCTAAGTCTCAAATCCTTGTGAAAAGTATTTCTTGTATCCAACAAGAAGTAAAACAAAGGCTTGTTTGTTTACTTGTTTGTTTTTTTTTTTCCTCAAATTCTTCAAATTTTTTTTTTCTCAGATCTTCAAGGACCTTAGTTCCTCCTTTCAGCCCTCAAATTCAGTCTCATCTTATAAAAATTGTACAACTTGATTTGACTTGAAGCCTCCTCTTCTATGTACAACATTATATGAATCTAAGAGGAGTATAAAATTCATGTAATAAATTTGTGCAGTCACTATAGAGATGGTGAATAGCATTCAGCAGCTGCTTCATTCTTTGAAGAATTTGTGACTAAATTCTGTAAAGCTACATGTCTCCTTTTATATGATTTAGATATGATGAACGCAGCCAGTCCATGGAAAAGGGTTATCCTAGACGGACAGTCAATGACTTTCCAGGAATTAGCCAGAAGGTTGATGCTGTTTTTCAACATAAAGGTAAATGAAAGAAGCTTTGGCTTTTAAGTAAAATCAGTTTACTTTTTAAAGAGTACAAGTTCTGGAGTTATTATTGATGTCATTATTGGTGTATTCTGCAAAAGATAGAACTGAACAGATGCTCTTTTGTGTGCACAAAGATGGTGTTATGTTAGACATGTATGACACTATGTAAGAATGAAGCTCCTTATTCACATAACATAATGTTTTACTTTTTTATTTCTAGGATTCTTCTACTTCTTCCATGGTTCAAGGCAGTGGGAGTTTGACACTACTGCGAAAAAAGTTATTCGTGAAATGAAGAGTAACAGCTGGTTTAACTGTTAATGTCATTAAACTTTCTTATACATAACAAATGAGAATAAAAATTCATTCTAGATTTCTCAAAGGTAGTTCATGTATACACTATTATATGGGAGAAGCTATCGGACTACTTTTCATATACGTCTACTATTTTAATAAAACAGTATGTAAACTCTGTTTCCCTGATTAAGTGCAAAACATATGACATAATTTATTGTTTTATACTTGGTGGGGAGGAGGGGACAAATAATTTGGAAATATATAGTTCTAAGTTTGAAGTCAAGTATTCTCTGCTTCATCTCTTGAAAGCATTTTATATCTATAAGAAGGTGTGAAAGACTACATATTAATGTGCCAACTCTAGTATTCAAATATTCTTCCAACTTAGGATATTTGTATTTTCCTTTTTTCCCCAGACATCTTCAAGAACCAGGCTTTTCATTACCTTATTATTCTTCTGTCTCATCTCCTGTCTTCTTGTCCTGTTCTTTGGCTATTACAACCTTGTCCCTTTCATATCAAATCAATATTGTGTCACAAAAATCACCTCTTTGTCAGTGTCCAAGTACATTTACTTACCCTGATATGTTTTCCCAGTGTATCAATTAGCATTTCATCAGGAGCTATTCAGAACCAATTCGCAAACCTTTGTGAATCTATGAATGACTTCTTTTATAAATCAGCCCTGTCCTAATCAAGAAATACTTTCATTTACCATGTTGTAGTGCACAACCTTTGCTCTGCTAGTACAAAACATGTGCTTTGAGTACAAAATGCATTATTTCATGCTGTCACAGCACACAGGGCAGCCTCCTCACAAAACCAAACCAAATCTATAAAGTCATAGCCATATCCTCTTCAAGTATTTCCTTTACATTTAATTCTGGAAAGAGGCCCAGAACAAATTTCCAAATGCTTGGCTATATCATGTGCACAGCTGGATATATCTGAGAATATGGTCTCATTAGTATAGGTTTGTCCCCCTGCTCCCTAGTTCTCATATGTCTGGCTGTTTTACACACTTATTCCATATTCAAGTAAAAAGTTTTCTTTTTGCTATGTGCTTTTACAGTGCCAGGTGCAACAATGCAATGATTGCCACCTGAACCTTAACTACACAATTTGGTTTAAAGGGTGCTGTCATTATGTTGCTGCTATTATTATGAGAGCTCCTCTGGCTTGTTTTCCACCAGGAAATCAAAAGAGAGGCTCAGATATGCTGTCTCACTGATCTACAAAGGTAGTCATGGTGAACAGCAACATACTCTATAACCCTAACAAAATTTAAACTTAAAGTGGAGTAAAATGGTAGATGCTTGAGTGAGATTCATCTCCCAGCTTTAACTTTCTATCTCTCTGTGTACTTACTCTACATGAATTAGGGAAGATCCCTGTATGGAAAGAAGAGGGAAATTCTCCACAATGTTACTCATCTCATTCAAAGACTGTCCAAGGGCAAATCAGCACCTCCACCCTCTGGAGAAAGCGTCTCTTAGCAGAGGCAAGCCAGTCAACTCAATTAGAGTAGCTAAGTTTCCAGACAGCTAACGTTTATTAAGTGTGTTGAAAAGACTAGTGTCTTTGCTTGTGTATTTTATTTTTTATGGGATCAAAAACAGAAAGACATGCTGTTTTTATCCACTCTGATATTCACTCTCTGGTGAGATAAATCATCAGCTTTTAATATGACCACAAACCAATGTTAAAGTTGAAGGCACCTGCTTGGACCACCACTACCTGGAGGGTGGCCACAATAAAAAGGAGCAGAACACACTGAAAGCAGGCAGGATGGAGATGGTTCCCTACCTGTTCCTCTGTCCTGGCCTGCTTAAACTCTTCTCCACATAATACAGACAACAACTGTCTAGAAAGCACAGCTGAACATCATGTTCACAGAAGCTGCCAAGCCAGTTACACCTAAATGTTTATACTCAGAGGCAAACTTATTCTTTCACACACTCTCTGCTTGGTGTGTAACACAATCGTAATCTAAACTGCAAGGAACGTTTAATCATTGAGTCATCAAGGAGGTTACTCAGTGCTTTACAATACTTGGGCAAGTTCCTCTACTTCACATACATAAACAAACATGACTATCTGTACTCCCTTCTTTTCTCAGGTGTTTCATTGTTTCGCAACTTGTATAACTTGTCTCAAGGAAAGTTAATTTTTAACAGAAAAATACTCTTAATGCTTTCTGACTGGCAGCTTTGGCATTATGTTAAACCAACATAGGGCGCATGTTGATAGGTCACCTGCAAAAATAAATAAATCAATGAGTATTTTTTTTCCTGTATTTGCAAAGAAGGTCTGAAAAGTCACACCCAACACAAAAGGGCTTGACTTTCGCTTAGTGATAACAGCATGGCCACACTGTTTTCGCTCTTCATTCATTGTTTCTTTGGTGAAAAACCAACTGGAATAGGATCATCACAGCAGAAATCCGGTAAGTGATGAGTGCTCACTGGTAATCCTTTCCCCTCAGTCTCTGCCAGGAGCCTAGCTAATGTGGGATTTAATGTGGGATTATGTCTTGTACCTCATTGCAGCCTCCCACCCTCCCACAGCCCTTGAGAGCTCCAAACAGCACCTCCCCAGCACTCTCTTGCACCATCTATAACTCCTCATAATGCATATAATTTCTTACCACTTTCCCATACTGCGTTTAGGTTACCAGCTGGGTAATGCTCTGCGGTCATGGGCTGACCAGACAGCTGGACCCACAGCCCAGGCAAGGAATGAATCTTCCTTCCCTCCTCCAGTAACAGGGGTTTTCTCCTCTGGCCAGCTGCTATTTCCACAAAACCCCTAGGAACTTCAGTGTCTTGGTTCAGTTTGGCTGAAGTTCGCCGGTACATTCAGCTGTTACTGTGGGAGCAGAGGGACACACAAACAGAAAACAGGATCCCACTTGGTCAGCCTGAAATAATTTTCTTAGTGTTTTCACTGAACATCCTTCTTGCTTTCCACTGCACATTTCTATTTGGTTTTGTAATGCTATATTCCCCCTGCTGTTAACCAGAGGAGTTTGGAAGGGGAGACAAGGCAAGGAAAAAAAGACATATGAGACCAAGGAGAAAGCTAGCCCACACTTGTCTTTCCAGTTGCTTTGTATCACAAAGAGACCATGATAGATAGTTTCTTAGCCAATTTATATTTAATGCTTTTTTAACAGCTGTATTTTAAAAAGATTGTAAGATGGTGATGATGAGACTGGATTAGGAAATAAGGAAATTATGCATCCTAATGCAATGTGTTGCTGAGACAGTGTCTGTGGTGGGTTATCCTGAAAAGTCCCTGCTTGTTTCTCTGCATGCAAGAACCTGGATTCCCAGAACGTCTGTGGAAGTGCTTTAGCTACTAGTAGTGCTTAAACCCATTTCTTCCTCTCCCCTTTTCAGATGAACATTTCTTCTTCTTCCTCTTTTCAGATGAACAGCCTATCTCCTGTGCTTTTGAGTGGCAGGCAGATACCTCTGTCTTCCAAAACCTCAAGAAAACTCATCCTATGGGATATAAGGATCTGGTGCCTTAAAATCAGAGAAAAGATATGCATCAGAGCTTGTCTGTGAAGAAAGAACTTGTATGTGCATAGTTCTTCCTTGCACTTAGTGGTAATTTCATGCGTTTTGCTGTTAATTGCTCAGACTGATAACAGAAGAGAAAACTGCAGGAACAGTATTTAAGCACTGAGAACCAACACACTCTTTGAACAGCTTAATGAAATTAACCTTTTTGAACTCTGGCCCTTCAGCATGCCCAAAGCAGGGCATACCCAAAGCAGGGCATTGACACTCAGTACTGACCATACAGGTGCCAAGGGAGGATGCCAGTAAGAAACGCAGATGAGCTTCATGATGTACCTGGTGCCACAGGTTTCTGAGGGCTACATATGGAGGCAAAGACCCTTGCAGAATGACTACTCTTAATGACACACATCTCAGGGACACTGCCAAGCAAGTCCAGTACACCTAGTTTATAGACAGGACCTGAGGTTTTGAGATGTGAATTCCGTGGTTCTGGCTGTGAGTTTTTCATGGTCTGCCTGCATTCTTTAATTAAAGTAGTTGATGGGGTGTAGGAGAGCAGGAGGTGGCTGTGGGAGTTTCTCCTCATGCTTCGTGTGTTTCATGTGTTTTTGTGCCCTGCTACCTTTCTGTGTGTCACTAGACATTGGAGTGGGGGAGTGTGTGCGTCCCACAAAAGCTCCCAGCCCACAGGTGTGTGTGGGTCTGGGCAGCCTCTGTGGGGCTCCACAGGCCCAAAGGGGGCTAAAGGAGGAGGGCATCTCACCAGCTACATGGAAATGCCTTTTGAGTATTTTGCAAAATATACTGCTGGTAAGACTGCGGGCAATACAGCTTCCTCACAACTGACCATTACAAGCCTTAAAACTATCAGATGAAAAGTTAGCACAGGCTGACAGAGAAAATGCTGATTCTTACAATATGCTGGCGCTAAGAAGCTCATAGTGCAGGGCAGGGCAGGCGTCCCATGGCAGAAGGCTTCAAGGAGCTGTGGGCACCGACCACCACCAGCACCCAGGCCGCTCAGTGCTGGGCGAGGAGGTGCACGGCTGCCATCCAGTGGCCACTGCTGCTTTGGCATCTCCTCAGGGTTAGCAGCAGGTCCCTGGGATGGATTCAGGGCCGGGGCCAGGGGCTGAGAAAAGGGAGAGGCCGTGGGGATGTCCTCCAGCCCCGCCGCCTGCCCACTGCAGGCCCCGCTGCTGGTTGCTCAGCGTTTGATCCAGTCAGCGCAGCTCCTCAGGGGCTTGGTGTTACTTGTAATATCACTAAGTAATATTTCTTGTAAAGAGAGAAAAACCTACAAGGAAAATGACAGATTTGATAATGAAAATGCTTTGTTGAATCTAATTAGTACCATAATTTCAAATAAAGTAAACTGAATGGTGTGTTTACCACATTTTTGGTGATTCAAAAACATGTATAAAAAAATAGAGTACTAGAAACTATGCCCTGAAGGACTGAGTACCCTAAATTGTCATCAGGTACTACAAGAACTGGTAAAAAGACGTTTTACTTTAGATTTAGAAAGTTACACTGATTAAGTTGAAAAATCAATATTTGAAATTGAAGGTGTTTTGTGGAAAAAAAAATGATGTTACATGTCATTATTAAACAGAAATTGGTAATAAAGGTAAAAAATACATAGTTTACAAACATCACTGAAGAATATTTTTCAAACTATGTATGTATATGCAATACAAATATATATGCACTTTATTTCTAACTATGTTTCAGACTATCTTCATTAATTTTGTAAGCACTGCTTTTGATTTTCTCTCAGGAGTATAGAGGAAGTGATTCATAAAATGAATAGATTATTTACAGTATTATAGCTTAGGTTATTGTATTTTTCCAAGCAGTTGATCAGAGTATTTAACACTTCATACTACCCCAAACTGGATTACTGTGAACAAATCAGGCCCTCAGTACAAATGAAATACACTTTGTTCAAATAAGCAAGGAAACTGTATGAAGTTCAACAAGGCCAAGTGCCGGGTCCTGCACCTGGGGCGCAATAACCCCAAGCAGAACTACAGGCTGGGAGAGGAATGGTTGGAGAGCTGCCAGGCAGAGAAGGACCTGGGAGTGATGGTGGACAGTCGGCTGAATATGAGCCAGCAGTGTGCTCAGGTGGCCAAGAAGGCCAACGGCATCCTGGCTTGTATCAGAAACAGCGTGACCAGCAGGGCTAGGGAGGTGATCGTCCCCCTGTACTCGGCTCTGGTGAGGCCGCACCTCGAGTACTGTGTTCAGTTTTGGGCCCCTCGCTACAAGAAGGACATCGAGGTGCTTGAGCGGGTCCAGAGAAGGGCGACGAAGCTGGTGAAGGGCCTGGAGAGCAAGTCCTATGAGGAGCGGCTGAAGGAGCTGGGCCTGTTCAGCCTAGAGAAGAGGAGGCTCAGGGGTGACCTTATTGCTCTGTATAAGTACATTAAAGGAGGCTGTAGAGAGGTGGGGGTTGGCCTGTTCTCCCATGTGCCTGGTGACAGGATGAGGGGGAATGGGCTAAAGTTACGCCAGGGGAGGTTTAGGTTAGATGTTAGGAAGAATTTCTTTACTGAAAGGGTTGTGAGGCACTGGAACGGGCTGCCCAGGGAGGTGGTGGAGTCACCATCCCTGGAAGTCTTCAAAAGACGTTTAGATGTAGAGCTTAGGGATATGGTTTAGTGGGGACTGTTAGTGTTAGGTTAGAGGTTGGACTCGATGATCTTGAGGTCTCTTCCAACGTAGAAATTCTGTGATTCTGTGATTCTGTGATTCTGTGATTCTGTGAAAAGTTACACTGATCTTAGAAAGAGATCAAACTGCTACAGGCGTGTTCTGGAGCAACATGCTGTGAGTTAATAAATACAGAGTACAGAGTTTGTGTACAGATGTACAGAAATTTCACACAGCTGTGTATTTTAATTAGCATGTGGAAAGAGAATGGTTACAATAAAAGAAGTCTTTCATTTCCAATGATAAACTCTTTCTTCCTTTCCAGGATCACAGTGCAGCCTGTGTAAATCATTACAAGTGGACAGGCTTTAATTAGAGAAAAGGGCATGCCAAAATTCAAACACTTATTTAAGTAACACTACTTCTGATATCTTTTGCTTAGTCAGAATCCTAGTGGCAACATCTGTGTTCCTTATGACCATAGAAATGTACTGCCATAGCAAAGCTCACACAAAGTGCGTCCATTCCTCAAGCACTTGGCTGAACAAATGTGCCTTCAAACCAAAGTTCACAAACTGTTACAACTAAACAATTTTGTTTGTTTGTTTTTATCAGCTTAGACAAGCATCAAAATATGTTACATGTTACATTCAGAATGAAGTTATCAATTTCTGGTGCCTTGTGCAGAATTCTCTGTATAGAGAAAAAGAAGTAAAGTGCAGTGTTAAGTTTCTATAAGAAAGCCTAGGAGGATGGTAGCAGGTGGACAGTAAGTACCCAGTGGACTCACAGGACTGAATTAACTCATGGGAATATGTGGGAAAATACATCAAATCCTATACTTCAGCAATGTGGACTATTTAGCTTTGCATGAAACAAGCCTGGACCCCACCATCCTTCTTCCCTGAGTGGTCCCCTCGAGTCTCATCCACATAGCTAAAGCTCTCAATGCACTAACCCTTCTGCCTCTGATTTTGAACAGGTTATTTGCAGGTTCAAATTATTGGAGGTCATAATTTTGAGAACCAATAAAAGGAAGATGGCTAAATAAACTGTTAATTGCACAAAGGAAAATACAGAGGTCACTATTTTCCCTATTTTTGATTATGTTGTGGGATATTTCTGAACATCAGGAAAAACTTATTTTTTGTGAAACTAACTGAGCACTGGCACAGGTTGCCCAGAGAGGCTGTGAAGTCTCCCTCCTTGTAGACGTTGAAAAGTCATCTGGAGATGGTGCTGGGCAAACTGCCCTAGG